TCTGCCTGAGCCTCAACATCCTGCAGATTCATTTGCTAATTTCTCCACGATGGAAGAAGAAGGTTCATCTGCCATCCAGAAATTTGAGCCACCTCCTCCTCTGGTTGGTCATGTTTGCATGATGGGACGCTCTCACATGATCTCCTGGGGTGATTCTAGGGATCTCTATTGCGACCCAAGAGGCACTTAAAGTCCCTCGTAGTCTGACCATACTGAGCATGTCACCATAAGGCGTTTTGACATACATCAGATAATCATTAATAATGTATAGCCTTGATTGTGCTTAGAAATGCCCAGTGGGGTGGTACAGTAGGACACCTCCCTGCTAGTCTGCTGTGTTTCGTTGCGGGGGAAGGGAGTCAAAGTCAAACAGCATTACCCTGTCCACCACTCAATATCACTAATTTCTGCTTTGTGTCGAAAAAATGTTAATTTAACTGCTGACTTCAAAGTTTTAATAGTGCACTCAATTTTTATGTGCAGTTAATATACTATATTTTATTTTCTTGTAGCAAAGAAGTGGAACCTAAGGGTCTGGATGAATATTAAAATAAATTTATGTTGCTGTGCGATAGCCAGCTCAGCTTGAGGACAGAAACATATGGCACAGGGAATTTCAGGACAATGGAGCCGGGTTTTGTGAGAGGTTTTCCAGTAAAGGGAGGATTCCTTTGATTTTTGGGAAAACTGAACATGGAAATCACATATTTTTACACGGTCCTACAATAATTATGTTACTGTGAGAACTCAGCAGGCCTGTGCCTTTGGGGTCAATTTCACCCCAGGGTAGGTTTGAGAGTTGATTGAAATCACGATGACTGTGCATCTGCAGCGGTTTGGTGCCACATCCTTGTGCGAGAGGAAAAATTGGTTAAAGGGGTATTTTGTAATCAGCTTTTAACGTTTATCTTTGTGCAACTCATGCAAGGTGCCTGGGTGTAATGCAGCTAACACTCAAGAATATAAGCGTAGGAGGATTAAGGGTTAATCTTGGTGTAGCAATATCTGCTTGAACTTTGTACTCATAAGACTGAGCAGAAATGTAAGCTTGAAGCGCTTGTCGGACAGAACAGGAAAACCGCAGAAAGCTACAGTAGAGTGGGGGCTGCTTGCAGGCTGTATAAAGGGCATAAGCCTCACCCAGCTGGTTTCCGTGGACGCAATCTGTCTGTGTACCACCATAAAAAGGATGTTAACTTAAAGTTCGGTGGGCATTTCCGTGGTAACTTTCGCTGGAACGGTGGTTGAGCTCAGTATTAAAGCTTCCTCACAACCCAGAATACCGTGTGGGATTGAAATTTCTACGACACTTGCCACACATCTGATGCTTCTGAGATGCTCTGGAATGACCCCACATAGGACAAATGGGTAAGTGACAGATGGGTCTGTCCTACATGGTCTGGGTCCTACATGTACTTGTTGGTGCCCTAGAATGGAGTCCTAACATAAGACCAACTTGGGAACTCCAACCGGCCTTAACATGTTTCTGGTTTGGCTGGGGCAACCCCTCGACAACACGCAAACATACAAACTCCACACACATACGGCCATTGCAGACACTCGAACCCTGGTTGCACAAGTATGAGGCAACAGCGCTAACCACCGTGCCACCATGCCGGGCCACTTCGGATAAAAAATAAATGAATAATCACCGAAGGCACATTCCCGGTGAACTGGGTAAATATGTGACTTACTTCAAGAGGTGAAAATTTCAGGTCCAGAAAATGAAAATCCAGACTGTGATTTTGTTTCAACCAACAGTTGAGTATAAAGAGTCAGAGTTACAGAGTACTCAACTGGTTGGTTGAAATAAAATCACAGTCCGGATTTTCATTTTCTGGACCTGAAATTTCCAGCTCTGCTTACTTCCCCCTTCTGCCCATCAGAGACATCGTACCATTCAGTCCTGGAAGGACTTTGGTGCGTTTAACACTGATCTCTCTCTCTATCAACAGGTACGATAAATGGCAGCGTGCTGTGATACTGTACCTGGCATGGTAGAGCATCCCGTCAGCATCTCCGCAGCATGTTCCCCATCTGCCTCTGAGGCAAGCGCTTGTTTAAACAACTGTTAACATGAGGAATCCGAGAGTTGATTAATGCGGTCCTCCTTGTCGCGTTTTACAGAACCCCCACTGGAAAAGCTGGCGTTGTTTACCAGCTCGCGAGCTTAATAGCCGCCTTCCCTTCAGTGGGAAGACAGTTCGTCCCCACGGGAGAGTAATGTGAAAGACTTATCAGGAAAACAGACAGGCCCCGTCCGATTAACAAACGTATAGCTATTTCCTTCCTGGGAAGCGTGGTTCAAATATACCCATCTCTGTTCCTCTGTCAGTCTCTTTATACCTGTTTAGCTTGATTTTAGTCTCTTTGTCTGTTTATCGCTGTGCATTTTGCCACTGTTTGTTCCCATTCCCACTGTCCCCCAGGCTAGCTGGAACACTACCTGACAGCAGTCGATCTCCAGCTATGTGCAACTGTGAATTAATGGTAAGTTTTCCTGGAGAAACCCATAAATATTTGACACCTGAAGCCACAGGAAATGTCCAGTCAGATGCAATAGGAATGCATCAGCTAGGTATTCCACAGACATCAGCGTGTCATCGCTCGTTATCCGTATCTGGAGATGGAGATGCTCTTCACGCAGATAATGTAGAAATGAATTTCACATGGAATCGGCGCTCGCTGCCTGAAAGTAACCCCAAACCCAATGGTACGCAACAAGTAAACACAAAAGGATTCAAGAGTGTCAGTGAAATACGACTTTTAGCGAGTGCAAATCTGGAATGCACTCGTCTCCTTCCCTGTTAACAATATCTGCGAATCCTTTGAAATGCAGACATTGTTCTGCAGCGTTGTCGAGCGTCTAGCTGGCCTCAGAAGTAGTTAAAGCGTGCAAGATATATTTTTTTGAACACTTTTCAAAAGTGAACTTTAAAAACAATCCCACTGAAATTAAGCACTTTTTGGTTTCAGCTCCCCATGTTGAGAAGTTTGCACGGAAATGCAGAGCATCTCCACATCACCTTTTCATCCTGTACAGAAATACAGACATAGAAAAACATAAAAGTCCTTAAAAAAAATTTTGAGCGTAAGTCGATGTCATCGAGATTTTTTTTTTTACTTCATGCATCTGTCACACAAACAAACATGTGGGCATTGGTTATGGTGTTGAGCCCAAATTGAAAGCAGCTCTAGAATCCATTATGACTGAGTAAACTTTGTATTTTTATGTGGTTCAGATTTACTATGCCTGGTCAGACTCTGCAAGGCTGCGTGGTTGACTCTGCCTCCAGAGTGCATAAAGATGCATTACTTGCTTTATAAACTTTATAATAGCAGTGTGAAAAGGTTCAAAGACCATTGGTATAATGTTTCATAAGTAATTTCTTTCCAAATTAAGTAATGCTCTTCTATGTACGTAACCAATCAGAATCCTAAATTTAAGGGGTCTAGCTTTATAGCAGAAGCCAGAAAGCCTGTTCCACAGAGGACTAAATGTCATGCTGAGTTGCGTGGCACCACAATCCTAATTTGAAGCAGTCCATTCCTATTCGGAAGTCATTCATTTTGTGGTATTCCTGGTGTCCTTGTTTTCTAGCTCTGATACATTCACCGAAAATCCCAGTTTGCACCGTGTTACTCTACCAGTCCCAATGGGAAATAGTGCCTGTTTTATGTCACAGTAAATAATAAACGTGTAAAAATCGCAGCTGGTAACATGTTTTCAAACCTTTCAAACCATCTCCCATGTGAGATTCCCCAGGCAGGAACATCTCAGGGGCGGCCGTAGGGAATTACGATTTCAGTAGCAGGTTTACGAGGGATGCTGAAACTATGTAAGACAATAATGCAAACTTAATATAAGCTGACTTGTATTACAAAGCCAAAATAAGTCCTATCGTGAACAACTTGTGAAAACTGGAAAAAAACAAAAACACAATCAGAATAATACATAATATTCCTGCAGTTATGGTGGAAACCATCCATTATTGCAATTTAAATTCATGTATTTCCTACGAAAAAGTACCAGCTCATTTCATCTCAAGTTCATAAGCAGGTTGCCACAGTTTTTCTGCGCCTGGCCTTGGATGTTTATTTCAAACTTAATTAGCTTTGTGTCACATTTTCAGCACACAGTTTGTGAAAAATCACTCCTTTCAGGAGTCCTGTCTTCTGCTTTTGAGTGCTGAGTCTATTACAATTTTGAAGCCTGTTTCTGAATATCTTCCTTTGCTTTGCAGATTATCCTGTATACTGTTGTGTAAAACACGTCTTGACTATAAAATATGCCAGTACCATTTTTCTCCTTTATTTCTTTTGCTGAAAGAATATTGCACTTATCTTAAAATTACTTGAAATGCATGTATCGTCTGCCTGCAGTGCTGCACTAAATAAGCAGCAGGAAGATAAAGGGATGGATGAATGTATTCTGTGTCTGTGTGTTTTTTTTCCACACGAACATTCTTGTCACCGTTTCCGTGAGGTTTCGGGCTGTGTTCGCATTTTCGTTTCTGAAGCAGTGAGCTGAGAATAAACGGCGATGGAATCACAGAGACCTCACCCTGGTTTCCCAGCAAAACGAAACCAAACAAAGCCTTCTGAGCACAACAGCAAATTTGATGCTATGTCAGGTAGTGGTCCGACATAAACGCTGAAATGTAATACACAAGCGGTGTCTGGTGGGTAATAACAGCGACAGGCCAGGGCATGTATTAAAACATCGTGCCACCATTTATTTGGCAGATAGTTGGTAACTCACCAACCCCCCCCCTCCATGGTCCAGCCTCCAACTACCCCCCATAGCGGCATTTTGGGATATTATTCATGGCAAAGGACTTAATATGAACGCAATGTTTTTTCACAATCCAATTAAAGAAATATGCAATACAAAGAGGGAGGAAGTGAGGCAGATAAGCAGAATCAGTGTAGGTAAGAACGACCAGGAATGTGGGAGCAGATTCAACATTTAAATCAGACAAAGGCGTCATAGCTCTGGCTAAGAAGGACAGAGGTTTATTTAAAATTCTGGGCAGATCAGTACAAGGTGAAATCCAATTTATTTCACATTCAGTTCTCCTTAATAAACATCAATCTTCTAACTGCCCATTCTGGCCAGGGTTGGGCAGCATAGGGCAGAAGGCTGAACTTCACGCTGGACAGACAGAAAGACAGACACACAGTCTATGGGCAGATTAGTGAAGCCAATTAGCCTAACTGCAGCCTTTGGAAAACAATCTGACTCATGGAGAACACGCATATACACTAAGGAGTGTTACTTCTCAGCCGATTAGTTACACCAGTGTTTCCCAGCCCGGTCCTTGGGGACCCCAGACAGTCCACATTTTTGCTCCCCCCCCCAGCTCCCATCACACCAGACCCTGGGAGGGAGCAAAAATGTGGGATGTCTGGGGACCGGGCTGGGAAACACTGAGTTAAACTACCAACATATATACTGAGGAACTTAGCTTTGCTCAGTTTTTAATTGACATTTTCTAATTAATTACCTTTTTCAAACATTAATGCTGGGTAGCACTGTTAAATTACGGCTTATAATGATAGACCGCTGGTGTCTTCCTCCTGTTCATGGTGTATTCAGAAACGTGTAGGGCAGACTGCGGATTTCCCCGGCGAAGAGCAGCTTAAAACCCACATCACAGCCGCATCGCATAGATAAGCACCACCCCAGCAGGGATTAGGGGAAGTTTTATCTGTAGAAAATCATCTCCCCAGTACATCTTGTGAGCAGTCGTCCCACCTGAGGCACACTGATGTCATGGAGGAGGATGAGGGACAACTGCGGGGGCACAGGCTTGGTTTGGGTGGTATTATGATAACCCCCCACCCCCCGGGAAATTTTATTGGAAAATTCCGGAACGGCATTGCTTTTTAAAATACCGTAAACTGTAGTATCTGGCTTGTGTGATTTGGGGGGGGTCGGGGGGTGCTGGTGGTAAAATTAAATTTGTCGACCCAGTGGGACAGGGTAATAGGACTAAAACTTGCTAGCTAATTTTACCGCAGCTATATAGCGGAACAGCAGGACATTCTGCATCATTAGCAACTTTCAGTTTAAATGGTATTCATCTTTGTCCCCTTACGTTATCCCAGACTACCTTAAATCCGACAAGTTATCCGACTAAGAGCAAAATCCTGGCTCGTGATACAGGCCCCTGCTGTCAATTTGCGGGAGACTCCCAGATCTTCCACAACAGCTGAGATGACTGTGTGAGTGGATGGGGAACGTCTACGTGATGTTTTTAGCTGCACTGTGAAGAGGGTGCCCTCCCCCCCCCCAGTATGTTGTCCTGGAGTAGGACACCCCATATTGGGGCTGAGATCCTCGCTTTCCTACCACAAAGGTTAGTTAGTTCTTGAATTCGGTGAGAAAAACACTTGTCAGAACTCACAAAGAGACCATTTTTAGTAATCGTCTATTGAGTACAGACATGGGCCATTATAGAGCACGTTTAAGCTGCATGACTTTGAGAGGACACTGGAGTGCCAGGAGAAAACCCAGACAAACATGGTCAGGACGTGCAAACTCCACACAGGCAGATTTGTGACCAGGACCCCATGACCCTGGAGGAGGGATTCCACCGTGCTGCCAAGAGAGACACCAAGCCGTCCACCCAAATGTAACTGACAGTGAGAAATGCAGAAGGACAATGCCAAACAAATGAAAATCCCACACTTTACTGAACAGGAGTCGCTCCGCATTAATGACCTACATCGTGATCCCTAACTGCCCCCCCCCCCAATCTACTTCTTGAACCTCAGATATCACACACAGCATCACCAATGAGGCACTGCAGATAATGTAAATGCTCTTTGGCACTGATGGATCTCAAACATACAGATTATGTACATCGTATTCCAAACTGAACACCTCCGCCCGCATTGCCGGCCGCTTATTCATCTGTTAAAGCAGCTTCCTATTATTATTCCCATGCGACTTCTCCAAACCCAGAGCCAAAATGGCAGAGCTGATCCTACGTGGCTGATTTCCAGAGAAATCTGACCACAGACAGCATTAATATTTGCAAATTTCGGGCTCTCTTTAATAAATCAGCCGAACAAGTTACATCAGAAATGCAGCCTTTTGCGCGCAATCTCGGGGTCTTGCCCGCTAAGGTCACTTCTCCTCACCCATTGTTCCTATTTAAATCCAGGAAACAGAGAGGAAGTGCCTGCAGTGTGTGCAGTGTGTGCGTTCCCTCCAGGTGCTATTCCCAGGGCTCCCGAGCCAGCGGACTTGACTCCATTTCCTCCTTCGGCCAAGCAGCTCGGATTTGGGGAACGAGAAAAGACAGGAGGTGACAGGAAATAATTGAAAACGGCCGGAGTCAGGTGAAGGAAAACGGGCGGATGTCATGGACAGGAAACCAGGAACAGAGGCATCGCAGAACATGGCCAGGTGTGGTTTTTCCGGAGCTGTATTTATTCAGTGGGCTGGATTGCTACATCTGAGGCAACATGTTACATCACCCGAATGTTTGGCTTCTTAATAAGAGTCAGGCGGTGCAGCATTTAAATCTCTCCTCAGTCTCACCTCCTTAGACCTTGGTGCAAATTGGCATCCATTCGCGCACTTCCTCCCAAGACTGGCCTCTTTCATCTGCCAAGATGGAAGCAGGTGCCGACTGCCAGACGTCTCCTCGCCGAGCTCTCATAGCTGTGTGGATATTCAGGGGATTCTGCTTTTCACCTTCTCAACAACGTTCCCAACAGCATTCCCAATGCCATTCCCAACAGCATTCTAGGCAAGCCTTCCCTGCAGCATTTTCAACAGCATTACCAACACCATTCTTAACAACACTCCTAAAAGTATTCCCAACAACATTACCAACAGTATTCTCAGCAGCATTCCCAATGCCATTCCCACCAGCATTCCCAAAGCATTCTCAATAGACTATCCAGTGCTATTCCCTGCAGCTCTCTTAGCTGTGCAGATATTCAACAGATTCTACTTGTCACCTTGTCCCCGTACCTCTTAGCAGGGATGGTCCCCCCACACACAATGGGGTCTGACCTTTCTGCTCCATCTGACGGGCACACGGTGTTTTTCCCACCCTCTTCGCTGCTAGATGATTTTTCTTCCCCACTCAGACAGCTCAATAAGTGTCCTGGGCTGCCCTTTCTCCTCTTGTTTTCTAGCATGTTTGGCACTGGGACTGAGGAGCAGCACATTTCTGTCAATGAAGTAAAACGGGGCCAGCAGGTAGTGTGGACATGAAGTATCTGTAGCATGTAGGGCAGAATTTGCTTCTTTGGGCGTCGAGATGAGCCCTGTTGTGATACCCTTGAAGAAGGTAATACTCTAACACAGTGTTTTCCAATCTGGTCTTCGGGGACCTACAGTCGCTCCATGTTTTTGCTCCCCGCCAGATAGCCTACAATTTGGAACTGGGAGGGAGCGAAAACACAGACTGCTGTGGGTCCCCGAGGACCAGATTGGAAAACACTGCTCTAACAAAATGTGTATGAATGGATGCATTTTTTTATGTGGATTTGAACAAATGCAACAGCCAAGCAAGTAAATGTGATTTTTGTCCTTTATAAGCAATCTTCAGATTATTTGTGATCCTTGGGGATTAGACATGGTTGCAAAGCCAGAGATTGAGCTAAATCGTCTTCCCTTTTTACCACTGTAGGAAAAAAGACTCCCACATACCACTGAGGATAAAGCTGTTCTCCTGAATTTCAGGACTTTTCAAAGGAGGCCATTGTGGACCAGGACCAGCAGAAAAGGTTCCATTCATTGCCTTGGGCCCGGCTCTGTTCCTCTGATAGTGGACCACTCTCTGCTGTGTAACAAAACACTTTACTCAACGGGGGGAGGGTGACCAAGCATCTTGCAGATGGTAGTGTGCAGATCTGCCAGTCTGGGGAGAGAGAGAGTCTGGGAGAGAGAAAGTAGGACATGAGTTCACAGTCAGGATTTCACTCTGCGTGTTACCCCTCATGTTGGGGGGTGAAGGGGCACAATGGCATCGTGGTGTTGGGCTCCTCTGGGCGGTGCCAGTCAAACCAATCTTAATGCCATTCTCAGCAGCATTCTTAATGCTGTTCTCAATGCAATTAACATTCCTAACAGAATTATCAATAGAATTCCCAGTGCCATCCCAATGGCTTTTCCAAGAAACTTCTAAACAACATTCCCAACAGAATTCTCAACAACATTCCCAACAGAATTATCAGTAGAATTCCCGGTCTCATTCCCAATGGCATTTCCAACAAAATTCTCAACAATATTCCCCACTGAATTCTTAATAGAATTTCCAGTGCCATTCCCAATGGCAATTCCAACAAAATTCTCCACAGCATTCTCAGCAGTGTTCCCAACAAAATTCCCAACACCATTTCCAAGAGAATTCTCAAAAACATTCCAGCAGCATTCTTAATGGTATTTCCAGTGCCATCTCAACAGCATTTTTAAAGCATAATGGCTCTCTGTGGAAAACGACAGTGAAGACCTGGGGGCATTTATCATCACAAACCTTCAATGCTGTCCTTATCGAGAGCAGGCCCTTAGGCTCCAATGGTGTGGAATTCAGCCTCGATGGGAAAGAAGTTCCTTAAAACACGACGTGCCTGCATTCCTCGCTGCCTTTTCATTGGCTGAATGGGAATTACTCACACCTCATTGGCCTCAGTCTTAAGGAAGTAATCCTCACAATCATTCTGGCCACGGCCTGTACTGGTGGCTGGCATCAGTCTGAATATGGGAAACAAAACAAGCCATTTCCCAAATGAAGGCTGCAGTTCCTCATCACCCAAGGACTCCTCTGTCTCTCTTTGAGGTTTTAAGCCCGACTGTCCACACGTGGACCGACTGTCCTACTTCTGATACAAAGGCAGCTGTGGTGCCATAACTCACTTGCCTAGTAACAGCATCAATTGGAGAGTAATATACTCCGAGGGTATGAAGTATCACCTGTGACGAAACAAAGTGGCACAGACTTGTACATCCACATGGCCAAGGAAGAGGTAGACCTAAAAGGAGAGGAAACCACTGTGCTGGAGAAGGGAGGGTCTTGCTGGTGGTTGTCAGCCGATGAAGGTGTTGTCTTCGTAGCTGAACACCCGTCCGAAGGCTCCATCCAGCATCCAGAGCAGATCCCCCCTGCCGATTCAGGCTGTGTGCGTTAAATGGGAGTGTGTAATGGACAGTCCCGTCCCAGGAAGACTCCATCAGAGCCAGATGATTACCTTACCGCCTCAATTGACACATCTGATTACCTTTAGTTGCGATTTTATACTCATGCAGATCATAGACTGCCTTTTCTTGATGCTTAACTGTATATTTAAAATGAAAAGCAGGGATTCTGACAATAACCTTCCTGATCTGGAACACCAAGACAAGGGAAGAAATGTCCATACAGACTGCATGTGCTTGAGGAGTCTTGCATGTCTGATCCTGACATATACATAGCATTCTTCAGTAGGGCAGAAGATGACATGGGTCAATTATATAGGTCTGTACCCTAAAGGGGCGCTAATTGTTATTTTTATTATTGTTGTTACTCTTGTTGCTGTTGTTGCTGTTATTGTTGTTATTGTCATAATCATTACTGCTATGTCGCATGCCTCCTCACACTGAACCACCTAACCTCATGACCTAGATTTAAATATCCTGGCACTCATCACTTTGCATATAGTACAATCCCAGGGGGGTGTTCCACGAAGCAGGGGGGTGTTCCACAAAGCAGGATTTCTCAGTTAGCTGGGTTAACTAAAGCTAGAAGTCACAGTCGTCCAATGAGAGTTTAGGTAAGGAGCATTCCTATTGGACAACCATGATTGTCCAATAAGAGTTTAGGTAAGGAACATTCCTATTGGACAACCATGATCGTCCAATAAAAGTTTAGGTAAGGAGCATTCCTAATCATGATAGTCAACGATTCTCAATTATTTTCTCCGAGGTCCAAATTTCATCAGTTACACAAAGCCAGGGTTTTTTTTAGGGGGGGAGGGGCATCTTGGTAGATTTTACCGACTGGGGGGCGTCCCCCTTGATAAATTGATAAGTCGCGTGGTCTGGTTCGCATGGTGTTTCCATCTGAATGCAGAGTAATGCATTTCTACGCAGGCATGCAGATAGTGCTCAGGTGCTGAACATGCGAGCAGCCTCTGGTTGCGTGTGAAACCTTCCACCGCGCAGGTTGTTTCCGCCGACCTCCTCGTCCACCGCACTTGGCCGACATCCCGTCAGTATCAGCACAAATAAAAGCTGTGTATTATAAAAGACATCCAGCCACGAATACCAGCAATAACTTACGACCAATGTGCCAGATATGAAAGACGACAGCTGGTCCTGGCCGGGACCCAAAGCCCGTGAAGATCAGCATTAGTCGGTAACAGAGGTCGGCCTTCAGCGTCTCTGCAGAAACGTGAGCAGATTTATTGCCCTGCTCTTGATCCTCCTTGCTTTCTCTTTTTATGAGGCTGTCCGTGACTGACAGGGCAGCACACAGGAGCACATTCACAGCACGTGTTAAGTGTCCAGTAAGTGGAAAGCAATTCGTTTTTCCTGTTCGGTCAGTCAGACAGGACCCCCTTCATCGTGTTATTCGTGGAGCTGCGCTCACAAAGAACCACGGAAAGAATCTATACACCTTCAGGTGAACCTTGAGGAAAAGGACTTTTTTCCTTGCTCGCTTCTTCGTTTATTTTTTTGGAAACCGTGAGCTGCGCTCCGTGAGAGCCTTTCCAGCGGGCCGGTGCTCGTCCGTTGAGGCGGACCGTAACGGCAGACCGCGAGCGTTGCGTCCATGAATGGCCTCAGTGACTCCGCACCGCCAGGGCCTCATGTTCTGTGGTTTTCCAAAAAATTCCCAGCCCCGTGATGAAGGGCGTTTTCAAATCAGCCCTCCCCGGCTCCTGAGGCCGGGCCCCGGCACGGAAAATGTGAGGAGGCGGTGCTGAAAACGCCACTCTGTTCGGCCGCGCCGGGTCCAGCGGTCATTAAGGACTGACTGTCCTCCCCCCCACCGTGCGGTGAGTACCCCTTCAAAGGTCCTCTCCCTGGGCTCCCATAATGGCATCACTACAGGGAGGGGCTGCCCCAGGCACCCTCCCCCACCCCCAACCAAAATGAAACATGCTTCACTGCCCTGGCCAGTCCCGATGCAGCGACGGCATAAGCACGTGGCATTGCCAGTCTCGCCAAACAGATTACGCCATAGATCCCCAGCCAGAGACTCGCTTCATCTCGATCAGACATCGAAAGAGGCCTATTATAGCTGTTCTAATGAATATGTAACCAAATCAGATGGATATAGGTTACGACCTTAATATGTACCTAATGCAAATTTCACAAATAGGTCAGTTAATTTAGGCTGGGGGGAGGGGGAAGGTGGCTCAGTGGGCGGCATTGCTTGGTTAAATCCCCCCCCCCCCGGCTCTGTGAGTGTGTGTTTGTGTGTTGAGTTTGTTGTTTGTTGTGCTGACAGGTTTCTTCCAGGTACTCAATCCAAAAACAAGCACTGAAGGACACTGAGGAATCCTGATTTCCCATTGTGTGTGTCACGTACCACGGACTGGCATCCCATTCAAGCTCTTCCTTGCCTTCCGCGCTAAGCTTTCCATGACAGTCTTCAGGCTGGCCGCAATCCTGCGCTGGATACGCAGTTATGGAAGACAGGCGGGTAAAATTTTGGCCCGGGATTCATTCCGAAACTGTGGACGCCTGTGGGCATTTTTGTCATCCGTTCACCGAAGGCGACGACTCGGAGTCGTGTGACGAACTCAGGCAAACGTTTGCGAGGAGACAAACAGACTTTAAGTGGCAAGAAGAAGAAGAATCCCTGGGGGAGGATAATGGCAAGATCATGGCTGATTTCAGACTGATTCCTTCTTTGCGGATGCATATTCATGAGCCTGCATGTCTAATTACAGACAATCCTGCACTTCAGTGTCCCTTATTTACAAACAGCGCGTGTGGGAGGTGCACCACAAACCAGAAAAACATTATTAGCCCCCGTCGTCGTACCCTGGCAGTAGGTTGACCGATTGAAGTACAAATAATGACTTATTACCAAATAAGTCAAAAATCTGAGAAAAAATCTAGATAATGAATCTGTGGAAAAACACTGGCCAAAGAATACTCCCGGCTTATATAAATAACATTCCATCAGAGCATAATATGACTTGTTTCGCTGGTTAATTTGTGATTTATAAATGAGGCCAGGCACCGCAGTGGCTCGGAGGGAAGCGTCAAAGCCTCATGCATGCAGGGGTTGGCCGTTTGTTTCCTGTTTCCATGGCGGCCCGAGTTCCTCTCCACATCTGTGCGCGTCTCCTCCTCGTATTCCAGTTTCCTCCAACCGATTAAGTGAACTTCCGTCTCTGCACTGTGCAGATCGCACGCCCCGGTAGCCCGTCCAGGGTGTCCTGTGCTGGGCTCCAGACTCCCCGAAGCCCGGTGATAGAATCGGCGGACGCCAGCCTGACAATGAGACAGTAGCGGGCGGACAGGCCTCCGGCGCCGTGAGACTTCGCTCGCTTTCTCCATCTTTGCGTTTCAATCTGCAGGCCCCTTCTGAGGAAAAAAAAAAGTGAAGTAACAAAAACACACGTCTCCGTTTCCTGCCTTGGATCTACGCCGGTGGCCCTGGAGATGTTATGCTGCCCTGACTGTTCCACAGGAAGGACAGACAATCCTGCCGAACCCTCCTCGAAGACAGATCTATGCTTCTTGTTTTTGCACCGCCACCATCCAAGGCCGCTTGGCTAGCTAACACAGGTGCTCATTAAATTCTTACATACGTCGAAAAAGCTGAACCCCTACGTGGCAACAGAGGCACCAGGCATATGGTGCTAAGCCTTCTGGGTCATTATCACTTCCTGTTATTATTCTACTGACAGAAGAGAAGTGCAAGTCACGCGGACTCTCTCACTCTCTCTGTCTTTCTCCTGCCTCATATGAGAATTAATGTATCTTTGATTGCGACGTCGACCCTCCTCATATAATGTGGCTCTTGAAGCTGCAAAACAGGGTCACTGTAGTGATTTATCACTCAGGTGTTTTTATGTTTACTTCCAGACCGCAAGATGCATTAAGACGAGCTCCATTTACTGCCATTAGAGCACGCAGTGTGCTAGGCGGGTTCATACCAGCCGATGCCATTTTCTTTGAACGTCGATGACCTTGTTTATGACAAAATAACCGTGCGGAGATTATGAGAAATAATGAGTACGTGTGGATTCAAGTCTTTGTCTTGAAGAGCACAGTATGTGACCAGCAGCTTTAAATACATTTAGATCTTGCCAAAATTGTTGTCTTTCAACTTTAATTATTGGCTGTACTGCACTTCTGTCCACCCACAGTCTTCATGTGTTACATAATTTTGAACGTGGGGCTGGTGGCATCTCAGCACAGAGGCCTGAGCAGTGGGGAGCGGGGAGGAACCACAAGTGGGGCATTGCACCGTGATGGTCATGGGTTCAAATCCCAGAGAGCACAGAAAGCCTATAACCTTTTCCTCTGCTGTAAGTTGTTTTGGATAATTGTAAGAGAGAAATACAGAGAACGTGTCGTGGTCTTCAGACCGCATGCCATCAAAACGGTGGTTTTATTACCAAACACTCAACGCATGCAAGACTATCCCTGTTCACTAAAATATATTTGAAATCTTGTTTTTTTTTAATGATGGGATTGTTAAAAACAAAGTCATCCATCAGAGTTACGTAAAGAGGAGCACAGAGGCACAATGGCGACGCGCCGAAATTCATTTTACGCCCAAAGTTGGTGTCGCCATCCGGCTCACACTGGAACCTGCGTTTCAGGCGTCCTCTGCGTGAGGAGAACAGCGGCCGGCGAGTGAGCGGGGTGCTCAGGTCAGGAGTGTGAAAAGCAAGGCAGGCGGGAAGGAAAGACTTCGGAATTCTCTTTGAATCCCGCATCTCTCCGGTAAAGTCTCATTTAAAATGTAGAAAGAGGCCCATCGCACACCTGCCTCTCTGAGGCGGCCTGTTCCCCGTCTCGCAAGCATCGGTCTAATGTTACGGGAGGTTTCGTATCTCCGCTTGTATAAACAATGGAAGCCTGTAGTGTGAGTGTGACAGATATCAAGCATCGCTCGAGGTTCTGCCTATACAAGGAGCACAATAAATAAATTGATTGATTACATGGTCTGCCATGAAACTTGGCTAGCCTTCTGCCACCGGGGCGGCGTAATTCGTGCAGAGTATGCGTCTCTGCGCCTCGAGTCAGGCCGGGGTTTGCACACAGCAGCCACCGATGTTTGGATCTTCCGACCTACTCAAACATCAAGAACTCCTGCAGGGCGACCTTATGGAGTCTCGTTCCCGGGGATTATTTCCAGCACATTCCCCCTCCCCACGGCACCTAAATATAAGCTTGGCTGAGAGTCTGGGCTCGGGCTGCTTCCGTGAAACACTCGCCTCCCTGTGAAACAGCACCGTAGGAATTCCTCACGCTGTTATACGAACAGGCCGGCTAACGCTAGCACCGAGGCTTCAGTCACGGGGAGCGCTGCGGGACGAGAGATGGAAATATAGACTTTTTTGCAAAATTAACAAGTCAGACTTTTTTGGATATGCATGATGGCAAACAAACCTGGAGCATTGTCACCTCACCTCCCAACCGCCCAGGTAGAGGAACCATAGACGAGAGACCAATGAAGTGAAAGAATGAAAAAAATAAATTGATGCTGTCTCTGTAGTTCTGGTCCTTCTGAAGAAGGGACTGCTGAAAGTAATTCACCCCGAGCCTCGATAAAGGCATGAGGCCAAGATACTAATTTCCTCACAAATTCTACCCTCCCCCGGATAGTTCCGGAACATTCCGTGCCACGTGCAGGCTTCTTTATCATTGGCGACTGGCTCCTTGTACCGATGCGAGGCCCAAATGCTGGGGTGGGATGTTTCGGGGAAATAATGACTGGCTGAGCTGAGGTCGGCTCGCACCACCACTGGAATGTGACCCGCTGCTGACCGCGGCTGTTTGTGCAGTGTGATGCTGACAGCGAGCCAAGGCTAGTCATTAGGAGAATCCATCCATAGATGGAGCCATCTCAACAGCTACTGACATCAGAGGCGTATACAGGGGCGGGTCCACAGTGACACCGGCCTCATTTGAAAGCTGATTGGCCCCTGGAGTGTTCTCTCCCCTTCACTCTTCCATTCAAAACATATCATTGGTTAGCAATGAATTATGTTCCCTCTTTTACCGCCCACCCTAAAAAAAATGTACTATAATTGGCCCTGATTGAAGCATAATGAAAAACACATGCAGGGGTGGGTCAGGATGGCTCAGATGGTTTGAATGCTGTATCTGTGAGCGGAAAGCTGTGGGATCAAATCCCATTGTAGGCAGAATGATTTCGCTGACGTGCCGTTGAGCTTGGCCTATCTGCTCTAGGGATTGTCTCACCCTGCACCCTGCTTTCCGAATTATACATCATTTTGGATAAAAGAGTCTGCTACCGTAAACTAGCATAAATGTAAACAATGAGAAGAACAGCCTGTTAATCCATTTAGAGAACCTTGCAAAAAGAATGTGGGGTTATTCAGGGGAAGAATCCTTACTAACGAGGACCGAGAGCTTCTCTCCACATTCCTTGAGTTCTATTTTCCAAACGAGCACAAGATACGGCATCCAGGGAAAGGCAACATTTATTTTTTACATGCCAGTAATCAGGTGGGGGGGGGCACAGACTGTGGGGGGGTAACATCCAAACGGCGATAACAGGCCTGAAACTCTGTCGGTCTGTCACGAGAGCGGGACACCGGCGTGGTGTTGGGTTTCCGCCGGTTTGCTTTTGATAACGGCGCCGCCCTTGTGGCTGATTCCAGTAGCGGCTTCCTCAGATAACAGGGCCCATATGCTCTGCTTTCTCTGACTCCTCTTCCTTCATGACAGTCATATTCTGTTCCCGTCACTTCCACTGATATCACCCCAACTTCATTTTCGACTCTTTTTCCATCATCTTTTACATAATGCGTTTTATGTACCTTGGTAATAAGACAGTGACACACTTACGAGTCTATCTCTCTCTCTCTGATTTATTTGCTCACTTACTTGAACTTGGGATAATTTAGTTACAGCCAACAGTACACTGTCACTGTCTGAGAATACATATCAGTAACGGCTATTGTCATATGACAGCTTCAGGAAGCATAGGCATTGATGCCAGAAACATAGGTTTAGTCTATAAATATTGCAGCAACCCTCACAGAAGAGGGACTGAATCTCCCACAATGAGGGCAATGATCTAAGCTACAGGAGCCAAGACACCTGCTCAAAACTGTTAAATCACTGAATCTGAAACATTGCGTGGAAATTGTTCTCAGGTGTGAGGGCTAAACTCAAATAATCAGCTACTCTGAACCACGGGTGATATTATGAATTTTTAGGTATGGGTTGGGGACAGGCAATTTAGAAGACGAATTCCATGGATTATCCAACTAAGTAAAAGTAAGTTATGGATCTCTGAGCGGGGGGTGTGGCTGTGTTTGTTTCTGTGCATGTGCCGCATAGTTTTTCATTTGAAAACGCAAAAGGAAAAGTGTTGCTTTTAACATCTAACACCAGGGCGGTGAAGTTTAGTGACAATTACCGTCACTCATGGAATATTTCACTGCTGCGCTCCCCCGCGATCCGTTCCTTGCCGCGTTCGGATGTAGCCGGAACGAGCGACGCCGTCACTAATTAGGGAAGGGGAGTCGGAAGAACGGTAGCGTAAATACTGCAGGTGGTGCAACACACTGCCCAAGAAGCAATGGAAGAAAAAAATAAGTACAAAACTTGACATAATAGGGAATCGTTGAAGAACTAGGTGACAGGTTTAAGAGTAAGACATGGGGACACACATGTTGCGTGTCTCGAAATGGGATTTGTGGCAGGAAGCGTCTTTGGCAGGAGGGAGCAGAGATTCGCCATCTGTAATCAACTGGACTCGTATGACGGTGGGCGGGGGGTTGATAAAACTGCGCCGCATAACAGATAACGGTGATCACCATACACACACGCATGCACGTACTGCACGCACACACCCAGACCCAAACAGAATGAGGGACCGGCCCATCACGCGTGGATCCAGATGCCGGTAACCCGTTATCTCTGCAAGCCCTCACAGGTGCGGCTGACGACAGAGACGTCTCCCACAGCTCGGGCGCGTTGCTGCGCTCCGCTGTCTCCATGACAACCTAATTAGCTGTGGGGGAGAGGCAGATGTCAGACGGTGGGATGTTGGGCCCGCAAAAAACTTCCAGAAAGGGAGGTCTGAGGGCAAGCGAGATGGAGAACGACAGGCTGCATTACAATCACCTAATTCAGCGGGTGTTGACCACTGAGAAGTGATTTACGTAAAATAGTATTTAACAAAAAGTCAAAATAACAGACGTGTCTTCTTCTTGGATGGTTGGACCCGGCCTGGCTTATTGGAGGCGTCCACTGGGGCATGAATTCTGCCATTCATGCTGCATGTCAATGGTCTTACTTTTCGTTGCGTTGTTATCGGAGTTCAGCCAGAGAACTAACAGTGTTCATTTCAATGGAGACGACTTCATCCCTCAGTAAGTCAGTGTTGAAGGCTGGAGGGATTATACTCTGGATGATGTACTGTGCAGGAATTCAGCCAAAAAAAAAAGGTGCGTGAGTGGGCTAATGGACGAGAGTAAGAGAGCAGCGGTGAGAATTCTGTACGAGGTCAGCGCAGAGGGAGTATCTCAAATAGCAGCTAATGGATGACAAGAGATTGGGGGCAAAACGAAAGGCCAAAATGCAGCGGTGGGCAGAATTACCACCTGCGTCCTTCTGCTTGAGTCTCACCATGGTACTTTTAAAACATTTCTGGATCGATGTCTGTCAGATATTCTCCTTCTTTTCTGTTCAAGCTCCAAGACGGAAGGTCTAGTTAAGCCCAAAAATGCATACCACTCCACACATTTCTCAAGGCATTGTTTATCGCAGGAGACGAGCAAAGGATTTGTGTGGTCACCATGGTTTCACGTCGAGCGGAGGACACGGAATGGGCCTCCACACCAATCAGAGCCCCCCCCCCCAGCAGAGGCATGTTATTGTGGCTGTCAGTGTGTCTCTGCGCTAATTACAGCTTGCAAGCTGAAGAGTGTGCGGCAGAAGAAAGTTCCCATGTTCAGTTTGATGTTCGACTCTGTTTGTATTCATGCAATTGCCGGACTTGTCAAAGACGGAGACGACGGCAGTGAGACGTGGCATGAGTCAACTGCACCGTGACAGTTTGTCATGACTCGTAATTTGCCTATTGTCTTATAACATTCGGCGTCATCTTGTTATGAATCAAAACCAGGGCCGTACTCCGCATTAAATGTCACCAATAAGAGAGCAAAATTTGCTCCAAGAGAAATTTTAGGAGAATATCTTCTGGGCAGGGTAATCGTCCCTATGTACTGAAATCAGGGGCAATTCTAGGATTTTTTTATTTATTTTTTTGAGGTTGGGGCATAAACAGAGCCAGGATTCATACAGAAGGGCCAGCCTTATCATTAGCCAATGATATGTTTTCGAATTGGTGAGTGACAGGGGAGGGACCACTCAGGAGGCCAATCAGCTTTCAGCTGGGGCCATACCCTATATATGCCCCTATCTTTAATTCCCTTTCTTCCTACCTTCATCCATAATTATTTGGAATGGGATCCTGCAAGGACATAACCCCACATAATGAATACTGTAGCTCCAAAGAGGATGTTGGTAACTATGGAGAGTTTTGCCTTTGACATTTTGATTGGAAAACGCGTTCCACGATGCACTGCACAGAAACGTATTGCACAGGAAGATTGCAATCCGCACTCGCACTCATTTGAGTGAATTTCAGCACACTGCTGGAGCGCAGTTAACTCTTGCCCTAGATTTTTTTTCCGCGGATTTTCTAAAAGTTCGCATAAATCCAAAGAAACCGTGTTGTTTTATGTAACACATTCCCGTGGGGCTGGCTGGGCTGCCGGCAGCCACTAATTTCATGTATTATATGGAAACAAATGCTGTCAGACAGGTGCCATGTTTAGCTTGGTGGTCGTGACCTTAACCGGACGGCGCGTCTCCCAAAAACACGCAGAGGCATCGCCACCAATAAGCTGCTTCTCCGCTTATGAACATATTCAAAGCAAGTGAAGTTTCAAGAAAAATAAATAAATAAATCATTTATATCTCTTTCCAAACAGACTTTTTCAGCGGGTCGTGACTTTGGAGGTGGAGCGCCTTAAGGTCATCCAGAAGCTATTGTTCTTGATAAGGTGAGTTTTTTTCGGTGAGCTCCCAGGCAAAAATGATCCGGAAGACCCTCATGATTAATGCTTTAGCAAAACTGAATAACCTGCCCGGGCCTCAGTGATTTCAGACATGAATCTGTGTTAGTGAGTGCTGCTCTCAGGCCAAGGCCTTGCGGCCTCTACCCCACATATTGTAATTTGGTTCAGTCCAAAACAGTGTCATGAAGTATTCATGGGGATATACCATCTGCAAACAGAGAGCGGGGGGTGATGTAATAAGTGAAGCAT